GATAACTGTCGCTATACTTTTTCGATAGATTTGAATATAGTATCAAAGAAGTTAGGGTTAAACTCTACTCCAACCGAGCACATGCACTAGTAAACTAGTAAGTGTTTTAGTGTACGGTATGCGCGTTTCCTACTCCGTGAACATTTCTTACCCGTTGCCAGCCCTGATTGCCATACAAAGAACAGGGGTTTGTGTTGATTCCGGTGAACTTCACTCTAAAAACCAGAAGATTGTAAGTTAAGCCCTAAAAGCTTAAAATCCATCAATAGATATTCTCCATTCCCGCCCTCTTCGCCCCCGCCAATCTCGTCTTGTCCGTTCTCCGTTTCCATGACGAATACCTTCGCAGCTGCCAACACAGAGGTATCACGCTCAGTTGCTGCTTCTATCGGACTTTCTTTTGCTGAACCCGTCGCCGCAAGGCCTCAATCGAGTGTACGCCCCTTCCCCTGCTTCTCCGAGAATCATTGGCGGCTCTCTGTGTCTGTGCCGGGAAGAGTGCGCCGCGTATTAGCGATGTCGAAGAAGGATTCGGATGGGGATCTTGGCCTGACGTATAAGGATGCGGGTGTTGATATAGAAGCTGGGACTGAGCTTGTTAGGAGAATTGCCAAGATGGCTCCTGGAATTGGTGGTTTCGGTGGCCTCTTTCCTCTCGGTATGATTTGTTCTCTTTTTAATAAATTTGCTTCCTTTACTTTTCAATTGAAGTCTTGGCCTAAGTCACAATTGTCAAGCACACTCAAATTGCTGAGGATTCCGTAAAAAGAATAAAATTTGTAAGCTATACTCAGTTAAACAGACAATTTATTCAGCTGCTATGCAATTGTGGTAAAAAAAAATTTGGCCACCCCTCATGTGTTAAGTCCACATGCGAGGTGGAAGAAATAGTGTTTCTAAAACATAATGCTGATAACATTTCATGAAACGTATAGGTGATTCTTACCTTGTTGCGGGCACGGATGGTGTTGGAACTAAACTCAAGCTAGCATTTGAAACTGGAATCCATGAAACCATTGGGATTGATTTGGTAATCTTTGGACTGGTCCTTGCATTTTGCATCTGTAATATATATATTGCTGGGGTAAGTTCTAATACACTTTGACTTCAGGTTGCTATGAGTGTTAATGACATTGTTACTTCAGGAGCAAAGCCATTATTTTTTCTTGATTACTTTGCAACAAGTCACCTAGATGTTGACCTTGCGGAAAAGGTACGGATCGTTTTGCATGGTTGGGTTACTTGGCTCTTTGAATTTTTTTTCTGCCACAAGTGTAATAAATGATCATCCTTTTCTTTTTCTTCCTATATGATATAGGTTATCAAAGGCATTGTTGATGGTTGCCAACAATCTAATTGTGCTCTTTTGGGTGGAGAGGTATGTAACCTAACGTTTAATCTATATTTGTTACATTTTTTTAGCAAAAATAGTGAATTTCTATTGAAAAGAAGAAATTTCTATGTTCTTATGGCCTTAAGGTTTATTTTGCTTCCTTCTTTGTGCCAAATCACCAACTAGTTACCATGTATCATAAGGGGTGGTGGCAAGTCTTCTGAATCTCATCATATAGCAGTTATACATGAGGGCTGAGACTTGTTTATCTTTTGACTTGAAGATCAGATCTGCAAAAGTTAAATTTTTTTTGTCCCCAAGAATAAAATTACTGAACAGATAATTTTTTGTGGTTATAAGCAATGAGTTTCTTTGCCTTCCAGACTGCAGAGATGCCAGATTTTTATAAAGATGGCGAGTATGATCTTAGTGGCTTTGCAGTTGGTATTGTTAAGAAGGATTCAGTTATTGATGGAAGAAACATTGTCACGGGAGATGTTCTGATTGGCCTACCATCTAGTGGAGTACATTCAAATGGCTTCTCTCTAGTAAGAAGGTCAGCAATTGCTTTAAAGGAATCATTATTATCGTTTTCTTTGATGATACTCATGTGATATGTTAATATGAAAATGAGTTTGCTGATATACCTTTAAACTAAATGTCACATTTTTATATAAATTGGTAGGGTTTTGGCTCAAAGTGGCCTTTCTTTAAAGGACCAACTTCCTGGTGAAACGATTAAATTAGGTGAAGCTTTGATGGCCCCAACAGTTATATATGTTAAGCAGGTCATACATGAACCTTTTTTTTTTGGCCAAAATATGACAACCGTGTTATCACTTTAATGTTGAATTTATGTTCCTTATCAAACAGGTGCTAGACTTAATTAGTAAAGGAGGGGTGAAGGGGATAGCACACATCACAGGTGGTGGTTTTACAGACAATATTCCTCGAGTCTTTCCAAAAGGTCTTGGTGCTGTCATTTACAAAGATTCTTGGGAAGTCCCACCTGTATTCAAATGGATACAACAGGTCAAAATATTTTTCATGTTATGTCACTGGGATCTGCCAATAAAAATTTTTTGGATTTTAGATTTTTTTTCTCTAGAACTTATTAATGCAATTTGTTGAAAGCATCAGAAGATTAGTAGCTGTCCTCACTATATTGCAGATATCTCTTTTTTTCTAAGTTATTAGCATGATTTTTCATTGATTGCATGTATATGGGTCTCTTTTGTGCTCAGATGTTGAACTTTTTGGTCATTTTTATTGATTTAGGCCGGAAGAATTGAAGATGCAGAGATGAGACGGACTTTTAACATGGGCATTGGCATGGTCCTTATTGTCAATCAAGAAGTATCTGATAGAATACTGAAGGAGGCAAATGCTGCATACACAGCATATCGCATTGGTGAGATTATGGGTGAGGAAGGAGTTAAGTATCTATGAAATCTCTCCTTGGTAGAAACATTTATTTTCCTATAGGTTGGAATGAGATAAACAGTTGCGGCTTTCTTAACTTATCTTAACACATGTATGTGAAGTTATGGATATGGCAACTTATTCTAGGTTCAAACCACTTAAAATAAAGGTGACCTCAATTGCTCCCTTTGTTCTAGTTGTTTGTTCTTCAAAAGCATCATTAAGAAAACTGGAGCCAATTTGTTGAACTTTTTATTTCGAGCTAAGCAACTTTAGTCAACATTTTCCATGATTTTACTAAAGCTTGAAGAAGAAATGTGAGATTTAAGAATGGCATAGGATTTATCCTTGTTCATAATCTTCTCTTGATCTATTACATGGTATTTTCTGCATAGTCATCTCGCCTGTTCCGCACCTCCCCCTTCTTAGCTGATTGCCACCTCTTATCCTCACTCTTCAACGGTAAATCTACCATCTTTCTGCCACGAAACTTTTCCCTCATAAGAACTGAATCTACATTTACCTGGTTTGCCTGAGATGCTGATTTCTGCATCAATCTGTGTTTTTGCTGTGCCTCCCTTGCTTGACATAACTCAGACTTCATTCTTCCATTTCTTCGCTCCACAGACTTGATCCCTGCATTGTGAAATGTTCTTCCTTTCAGTTGATGATATCCAGGGAAGCTGTTTTCTTTTTCCGGATTAAGGGATTCAATATTTTGGTGTTCAAAATCTGATTCATTCAGGCTTTTAGATTGTTGCCCCACGGGTCTCAGTGTCGACATAGATGCCCAATTATCATACAGACGGCCACCTACAAATTTTGGTGGATATCTCACAGGAGGAACCAGAACTACCGGTGACACTGGAACTCTTCTGAACCCATGTTCTATATCTTCTCGTAGTTTCTCCTTCAGCCCCTTGGGAGTATTTTGTCGTGTCTCAGTCAACCTCATTGCTCCCAGTGGAGATTTGCTTCGTTTATTCAGCCTCTCATTCTTAGATTCATGCCTGTGAAACCCATTTGATCCATGAAATGCAAATCCTTTTGTTTTTCCCTGATATGAGATGGGAGGCAATTGAAATGGAAATGAGAGATTCGAGATGGTTGCTCCAGATTGGTATCCAGTTTTCTCCAATCAATTCCCTTTTCCTGGAGAACTACTTCTCTAGGCCTTGCAAAGGCGAACGGATCTGATTTCTGCTTTTGTTGTGATGTTGCCGTTCCCACTGCCGCTGCAGCAGCAACTTCTTCTTCCTTCTCTACCTCATCTGCCCATGACAGTAAAGCCTCCCATTTGTTTTCGTCTCGCACCATCTCTTTCCTTATTAGTCTCCCCTTCTCAACGGTTATTTTTCTGTTTGAATTTCAAAAAGACTTGGATTTATTTATGTTAATTGCAAGATAATTTTTGGTTGGTTGCTCATCTATAAAAAAATGTACAAGACCCAGATTTATTTATGAGAATGGAATCAGCTCCATAAGACTAGAAAAGGCCATGCAGTTATTTCCAGGCTATCACTATATGTTGTAAATCACAGCAAAGTCCTTCCAAGTTCTAACATGGTTCTTGCATGAAAAATGATTTAGAAATAATCTTTTTATAATTTTATGTATAATTTAAATAATTTTTTTATTTAAAATTTGTGATATTAAATGTACTAATTCATTTAACAATATAAAAAAATCATATAAAAATATAATATAAAAAAATCATCCTTGTATCATCAATTGTTCTTGTAGAGCTGAATTTTTAATTAAAATTTTTTTTACAAGATTTATTTATTTAATAATCCTTTCATTAGCAAATTTGAAAACAAAAAAGGAAAAAGGAAAAAAAAAAAAAGGGGGAAAATAATTGAACTGAAATTCAGAAGCCATTGAATTTGTCTCTAGAAAAATGGATGCTTCCAAGCTTGACACCATCTATTTTCATGATTCCAGATACGCTTGTTGTCGCGAGCTTTTCTAGAAAAACCAACATTAGGCATCACAGACAAAAAGAGAAAGTGCAATTAGTGGACAAAATAAGGAGGGGAATATAATCCGTTGAAAGCCAAAAGAAATCCGTAAGCCAATAGCTAATAGCAATAGCAATAGCAATAGCATATATGGGGGATATGCTAGCTCCTTCAACGGCCATCATTGCAATTCATTGTACCATCAACAAAAGTTAAGAAACACAAACAATCTAGAAAGTCAGAAGTTCAACCTTTTTTTAACATTGGCTGAGGAGTTTGGTATCCTTACGATTCAAACTCGGGTGTTTTATTTCTATTGGATTGTCTTTC